GCTCCGACTTAACAGACAGGCTGAGCAGGAACAAAATCGTGCTCCAAATATAGGAAACCAAACTGATATTTTCAGATACGAAAAATAGAATCAGCACCCCCTCCTCCAGTAGGGTGTAATTAAGCATTAGTCACAGAGGGCCGAGCATCTCTGTGCCACATGACCAATGACCATACTTGCAAGGACAGGCCCCCAGGGGAAACGCTGGGGGAAGCTGGCCCATTCATCTCTGGCACTTTCTCAAACCACAGTGGGGTCACCTCCTCAAAGCAGAGGGAATGGAACTGAGAATCACATCTTCGATGCTGCCTTTAAATCAGATTTTCCATTTTTGCTTTTCTTCCCAACACCTTTGGCCGGTCTGACCAAATGGCCAGTCATTTAAAGAGAGGCACGTAGAAAAGGACTGTGCCCCCCACTTCCCCCTTCCCGGGGCCGTGAGGCTCTGCAGACCTCAGTGCCAGGAGCTGGGTGTTGATGAAGCTTTCTGGGAAGGAGCCGACATCACGCCCTTCTATGAGGGAAGCAGGTGCAATCAGTACTTCCATCCTCAGCGAGGGCACAGACAAGGCTTAAAATGAGCCTGGCAGCTGCGCACTGACCCCCAGCTGGGGAAGGAGAGGGCTCTTCAGTGAGAGGTTTGGGTGTTCAGATTCTGTGGCTTGTGAAGCTCTCTCCTACCTTCAGTGAGGATGAGTCATCCCTTAATTCCTCTTTCCTCTCGGCCTATCTTGAGTCGTACTTATTTTTATCCATGGAATAGAGTTAAGTTGCCAAAAGGATGATATTTCTCCACCTGCAAGGGCCCTCCTGGAGGATACATTTTAAAATATTCATTTTTACAATTTCCTCCCAGCAATACAGCAGGGGACAGGAGAGGAGAGGGAGACAGCCGCACGGGCCTGGCGGGGGAGCCTGGGGTTTGGGGAACTGCAAAGTGGCTTTGAGACAGAGACATTCTAGAAGTTATTCTGAGGACATAATTGGACAAAAGTGAAAAGGAGGATGGTTAAGTATGCTCTTCATAACTCTCTGTATAATACTGAAGAAATCAAAGCAAACTGTAAACAGTCCTGCTGTTTTGGCCTGTGCAGCCTGCAGGTCCCTTATTTTGGTGATGAATCTCATGTTTTTCTCTAGGGAACAGCCCATCACCCATTGCACAGGGTAATCTCAGGGGGTCTGCCAAGTCAAGATGCCTGGCCCTGCCCTTGGCTAGGGGCGGGCATGAGACCCAGGCCAGGCCACATGGAAAGGAGCCACAGTAGGATCTGGAAACATTTGGATTCAGCCCTTCTGATGGCGGTGCCTAGAGAGG